AATTGATGAACAACGGGAGGTCAGTGACAGTGACTTTTTTATTCATTGTTGTTGTGTTTGCTGTGGTACCACATCCAGTGGTGCTTGAGGCTGACAGAGTGCAGTAGACTGGCACATGGTGGCTGAGATCTGGGGCTTTACAAATGAAAGACAGGGGTCACACTCACTTTATCATCTCTTAAAATACTCTATAAAGCTTGTTTCTGTTTTGAAGTCACACCCAGCAGTGCTAAGGACTTTTTCTTGGCTCCAGATTCACTCCTGGCAGTGCCCAGGGGAACCTACTTGGTGCTGGTATGGAACCTGTTCGGCCATATGGAAGGGCAGTGCCTACCTCTTTACCATGGTTCCAACTCCCCATGGCTACAACTCTACAGAACTTAATAACTCTGAGTGTTTTGTTTTATTTTAAAGAGTGATCCCTCCTAGAGGTGGCCTCAGTACTAGAAGTGTTTCTAATCAATCATCTGAGTCAGGCTTGCTCAAGAAGGATTACAGTACAACTGCCTTGCACTTAAGTCTTTGAGGCCTGGAGCGATTTTGTAAAAGTTTCGTTGGGTTTTTAGGCCATACCTGGTTTTTAAGCCATACTCAGGGCTTTCTCTGGCTCTGCCCTCAGGGATCATTCCTGAAGGGCTCAAGAGATGACACACAGTGCCGGGTACTGAACGAGGTCGGAGAAGTGCAGGACAAGCTCCCTACCACTGTACTGTCACTTTGGTCCCTGAAATCTCTATTTTCTTTTTTTTTTTTTTCGGTGTCTTGATTTTATTTAAATGACTCTCTGGAAGTGTTGCTTGAGATTTAGATTTTCTACAACACCTCGGAGGCTTACGTTTTTCTGCACTACTTGGACCAAGACAAGGCAAAGAATAAAGTCAGGATGTTGAGGTGATGCAGTCAGAAGGACTACGACCCGTGGACGACCCAGGGCCACCTCCCTCCCTGCCTCACAGTTATTTCCACCAAGCCAGAACAGTCATTGTTAGGGGCAGTCCAGCTTTCGTCTCCGCTAGCCTGAAGGAAATTGAGTGGGTTATTTTCCTAAATTATATTTCATTTGTTTTCTTAATTCACTTAGAACCATAGACTCCTAGACTTGCAGTGTAACCCAGAGAATCTGTCTCTCCTAATTTTCTCATTGGAATGTTGAGGAAGCCAAGATTCAGGAATCTGCAGTTAAATGTCCTGAACTGCCAGCGTGAACAGTCAGTTTTCTGCAGTTTAATCCCTTTTTGGGGCTGGATCGATAGCACATAGCACAGCGGGTAGGGCGTTTGCCTTGCATGTGGCTGACCCGTGTTCGATTCCTCCATCCCTCTTGGAGATCCCGGCAAGCTACCGAGAGTATCCCGCCCGCATGGCAGAGCCTGGCAAGCTCCCCATGACGTATTCAATATGCCAAAAACAGTAACAACAAGTCTCACAATGGAGACGTTACTAGTGCCCACTCTAGCAAATCGATGAACAATAGGAGGACAGTGCTACAGTGCTAATCCCTTTTCATTTGATATCAGAACCATTATGAGTTGTTCCAAATTCAAAAGGAATTTCTTTTTCTATTTCCAGCCCCAGTTTTTCTTTGTTTCTCGTGAAGTGGAGCAATACAATATATATCCAGCAGAGATACTTTTTCCAGATTTCTGATTGATTGCCCATAAATGGAAGGATTATGTTTTTGAGCTGGCACATTAGAAATTATTTATTTATTTATTTTTGGTTCTTGGGCCACACCTAGCGGTGCTAAGGGGACCATCTGGGATGCTGTGAATCTAACCTGGGTTGACTGCAAGCAAGGTAAATGCCTTAGCTGCTATACTATTGTTTCAGCTACCAGAAACTATGTTTTTATTGTTTTTAGACAAACAATTTTAATAACATAGCTTCAGAATGTAATGACAAGTTGGAAAGTACTTTTTGACAAGTACTTTTTTTTGTCTACTTGCTAACAAGTAGATTCAAGTGACAATAATTTATAACCCTTTTAGAAAGTATATTTTTAAAAGAATGTGTATACTTTACAAAGAGGAAAATGGAAGATATGGAAAACAAAGAGGGAGATGAGTTTATAGAATTATTACCCTTAACAATTGTTACTTATAACAACTACAGATATGTTATCCTTTTCTCAGCTAACTAAGGTTACCCCCTAGAGTCTGAAATCCCAATACAAATCTCATATTTCTGACTGGCTTGAGTCAGTTCCTCGTGCCCAGCCATGAAGCTTGTTTCAGATTCTCTGGGCTACAGTTAATACTTAGAGGTTTGCCTTTCTACTTGTTCCCTGCATCCCTTTCCTTAGATTCTTAATTGCTGTCATAGAAAAAATTTCAAGTACTCTGCTTGAGTAATGACAAGACCAGGGAGACATGGTTACCAATGATCAGAATTCTTCTTCTCCTTAGCAAAAGGCCATCATTTGTGACACATCCGATGCAAGTGTCTGGATCATGGCAGCCCTTGGTTCCAAATGCTCAAGTCATGGCAATTTTCTGGGATTTTGTTGTAGTTTGATCATTGTTATTCTTTTTCTAACTGCAATATTAGTATCTTATTAAGGCCATTCTGTGCTCAAACTCCAAAGATTTTCAGACACCTTTCCAACTCCTATACATAAATGCATTTGCTCTTTACTTTATAGTTCTAATAATAGTGGAGATACAGCTTGTATTTAGTATCCCTGTTAACCTATAGCATCCCCTATGTTGCTCTGCAATTTCCAATTATTATTGTTTGCAGTTGTATGCTATTCCATTTAACCATTCTTGTCTTTGATTTTTCCAACTGGTATGTGACTCAAACAGCTAAAACACAAGTTATTTCTTGTGAATCTTCTGATAAACATTGCACAATATCATCTAGAATGGAAGCTGTGGTTGACCTTTGCTTTTCGGGAAAGCAACTTTTCTTTAGAACTCTGAAATATCAGATATTTGACAATTGCCGTTGCAAGGACTTTTGCCAACTTGCTCTCTTTCCCAAGATGACACAAGTAAAGTTTAGATAGGAGGGGAAGTTCAGACATAGAAGCTCCCCCGTACCACCTTACCCCCGTGCATAGTCAAGATGGTCAGAGGAGGCTGTATTGTGCAGCTCACAGGAACAGGGGCACGAAAAACCATATTGGTGACTCAGGTCTGGCTTTGCAGAAAGGGAGAACATTTCTGTTCTTCCTGCCTCTCAGCATCTGCAGGAGTGACAGTGGCTTTCTGAAAACTGGATTTCTCACCAAGGCTGTTGTGAGCAGTTGCTCTCTGTGGCTGAATAAAATCTTCTAGAATCTGATTTCGGAGGAATGTTTTGAAGATTTGATAAAATAATCTATGTAAATGCTAAGCTAAATTCTGCCAAAGTGTAAGTGCTGTTAATAAATAGTGTTAATAAATAGTGTCAGGCTATGTGTGGAGAAATGAGAACAATTGTGTTTGAGATGGACTTAAAATTTCTCTTCATAGCCAGTGCCCTTCTAATTTTCCTGGAAGCAAATAGTAAGTTCTTTTTCATGAAAGTAAAATTGTTGTCTACATTTATAGACTATTATTCCTTAGATTAATCTCCCTTTTTTATCAATGAGTTTGTGGAGTCTTAATTTCGGAGGAAGTGGGGTACCCGTCTCAGACAATCTTATCTTGTGAGTGAGTAGTGGCAGTGTTTGTTCTTACAATCACCTAGAAACTTGTTCTCAGGTCTTGTGCGTATCTGCTGCCTTTCCTTAGCCATTGTTCTTTCTTGTTGGGCCTCTCTTAGGATTTTAGGATTTCAAAGCAGTTTCCTTGCCGCTATCTGAAGTCGTTCTGCTTCAGATGTTCTTCATCTACTGCACTTCAAAGTGTCTCCATCTGAAGGACGTGCCTTGACTCAGTCCTCGTACTCACACTTAGATGGAGAACTTTGTGTTTCTGCTGGGTTCACGCGGACCCCAATTCTGGTTCTTGCTCCCTATGATAGCTGTTCACTGAGGCAGAGGTTTAAAATCCTCAGTGGTTCTCCAACTTCCATAACTAGCCCTGTCCAGTAGGAAGAATGGTGGCTGCACTGAGAGGTGGCCAGGCAGCACCCGAGAGTGCCCAATACCAGCACAGTTCCTGTTGGTCCATATGCTTGGTTATGTGCCCATCTCATGACAGCTGAGGCTCCTCCTGGGTCTCTTAAGATGAAGCTGCCCTCCTTCCTGTTCAGGCAAAGGGAATGAGCACTAGAGGTCACAGCTTTGGCGCTTAAATTTAGGGCACAGCTCATGGTGCGAGGAGCTTAGTCTCTTCTGTTCAGGGAAAATTAGAGACTTTAAACATGGAGTAAAGATTGCCAGAACTCAGGGCTGGGCCAGCTGCTGTGTCCTGCAAGGTCCATGCTTGAATTGACCATAAAGCCTTACCTCCTGCAGTGAGTGAAGTACAGCCTGCAGACCATCTCACGGGTACAGTGACCTCACACGTGCCCTGGAGCTGTGACCATCCAGGCTCTGGGCCAGTGTCTGATTACTGAACCTCATGCACACTCAGCTGTTCCCTCCCAGAGGTGGTTCTGCAGACCAGCCCTGTACTCGCTCAGTAGCCGGGGGCAGTGACGGAGGGGCAGGCCTCCCCCGCAGGCTTGTTTCTGAGCCGCAGCCAAATATTTCCTCCTCTGAGTGATGTTTCCCGAGATATTTACCTCCTAAGAACTCAGCACAGGGCAGTGAGCAGACCTCGAGACTGCATACCTTCCCCTGGCCATTTCCTTAACTGTATTTGTGGTTGGATGCTTGTCTCTCCAAAATCCACACGAAGTGTCCCTGGAGCCCGGTATGATGCAGTGGGGGAACATTGTCCGGGGACCAGTGGGAGGCAAGGAGGGTTCTTCTTGGCTCCACTAATATATTTCTTCTCTGCATTGGCCGTGAGGCAAGTCTGTCTCCAGTTTTCATGCAATATTCAAGTGTCGATGAGTACCAGCGCCAAGAGCCAACTTCAGCTACTGCCCCCAGGTCTTAACAAGCTGCTTTCCTTACTGTTTTATAGCCTGCAATGTATGGTACCTGAATTCCGTGGAGATGGAGTCCCTCACAGGCCACCAGGCTGTCCAGAAGGCCCTGAGTATCACCCTGGTCCAGGAGCCACCACCCTTGTCCACCATCGTGCACTTCAAGGTGTCAGCCCAGGGCATCACCCTCACGGACAACCAGAGGAAGTGAGTGCTGGCCCACACAGCAGCTGACCATATCTTGGATGGGTCGTGATTCACCAGGCTAATGTGATCAGCAGCCAGCATCTGTCTACACTTCACCCGGGTGTCACATGTATTTTAGCAACCATGTGAAAAATACTAATATTTCATCCAAAAGCTTCTACTGTAGGGATCAGTGAAATGAGTAAAAATACATACTTAGAGCTTTGACCATTATACAAATAAACACACACTGGCATCATGTGCAAAAGCAAAAATATTCTAAGTTTTCAGCGTGAAATTAAGCCCGACATCCATATGATCCCCAGTCCCTGGCAAAAGTAAGCCGTGAGAAACACCAGGTGTAGCCCCCAAACCACAAAACATACAAATGCTCAGACACCGCATGGTGATAGAATGCACCTGTCTTTGCTTGACTGTGACTGTTTCTGACTTGTAGGGAGTGCATTTTCAGATAGACCCTGTTGAAAGATGTGGGCCTATTCATCATCCGTGCTGTGTACCATAGCGCATTGCCTCCCTCAGAGTTGTCAGAGTTGGCTCCTGCTGAGGGGGTGCTCCACTAGGAAGGTTTGCCCAGCAGGAAGCAGGCAAAGGCCGGTGTGTTTTCTTCCCACCTGTAGTGTCTTTGACCTCAGGATCAAAGGCATTTTTCTAAGCAGTTACTGTATTTGTAAGACTCCCTGTTGTGATTGATAAGGGAGCCAGGCCCTTGAACATAAGAACATTGGCAAGAGCTTCCAGGACACTCAGCCAATCCCAGGTTCCTGCCAGTGGGGCTGAGCTGTTGACTGACTTTCCATCCATACCTGCACAGAAGGTGGCTGAGAGGGAGGTTCACTCTCAGCTGATGCATTTGGGGAAGTTGCAGGAGAGCTTGGGTTTTTGCCTCCTGTAGGTGGGTATGGGCCAGTCCTTTCCCCTGTGATGCTTGTTTTCCTCATCTTTCATCTGGACTGAAGTACTGGTCTTGGCGTTTAGTCAAAATTGGTACATACTAGTGGTCTCCAGAGCATCTGTGGACCTTGTCAGTCCTTACACCCTTACACCCTGTGTTTCCATCTCTCATAGAAGCTGACTTTGAGTGGGAGGGAGACTTAGGCCAACCTCAGATGTCTCTTCACTCTGCACATACTTCTGCATGCACCCTCCCAGGTAGGCCTCTCACACCCAAGTCCTGGCCACAGACGCATTCTTTCTCATCCCCATAGGCTGTTCTTCCGGAGACACTATCCCGTGAGCAGTGTGATCTTCTGTGCGTTGGATCCACAGGACAGGAAGTAAGAAATCTTCTTTTACTAAACAGCTATGTTCTTCCTCTTGCTCTGTAAGCTGATAAAATTAACATAATCTTCTTTTTTCTTTAATTCTCAAGGTGGATCACAGATGGTCCTTGCTCAAAGTAAGTTGGCAGGATGTGTTCATGTGCACTGCTAGCTTGAGGCCTCAGTCCAGAGTAGTTTTCTGTTCCAGGTTTCCCAAGAAGACTCCTCATAAGGGAACGACTATATCATTTTGGCAGTGGGTTTTGGTTTTGCTTAAAAAAAAAAAAAATCAGTGTCTGTGTGCCAGAACACCTTTATGGGGATTCTGTCTTCTCGTGTATAGCATCTGATCTCTGTGGCAAGCCTGAGGCACAGTGCACGGCTATTGTGGGAGGCCCACAGCAGCTTGTCCTGACGTTAGGAGGAGAAGGAGGCACATCCTGTGTGTGTGTTTGTGTGTGTGTGTGTGTGTGTGTGTGTGTTGGGGGGGGGGCGGTTAGAGTTCCAGCACTTACAGAAGCAGTCACTGTGGGGTTTCTCCCATCTCGGTCTGGAGTTAGCCTGGTGCAGGCCCGAGGTGGTGTGGGCTCAGAGCATTCCAGACATGCCTCGTGTCCACCTCCTGTCTTCCTCCACTGAACTCATGGTTTCTGTTGATGACCATATGTGTGGACACACATGCACCCTCCCCTCCCACCACGTGCCTCATCTGTCCCAAGGTCTGGTCGAGTGCTCAGAGGGGGCTCCCCGCTGCCATGTTTTTGATCTCAGCAGAGTGAAATGCATCACCCCATCAGGGTAATCCCTTCTGTGCTGTGCAAGCTACGAGGCTGAAGCAAAAAAATCCATTTTTTTTCTAGAAGGTTTGCTAGGGATTTGGAAATAGATAATGGTGCTATTATATAGAGTTTAGAACTCTTGAAAGCTTATTCAGACAATGGCTTCGATTCCTTCTGAGAAAAATAGATGTATTCTTAAGTCATTTAACTACCTGTGGTTTGTGACTCAGGTTTTCTATCTCCAGGGAGGAGGGTAAGCCCTGGGTATCTTTCTGGCACCAGGGGTCGGTGGGAATGTTTCTTAATGGCCTGGAGCATCCCTCCCAGGCCTAGATACCCACCCAGGGGGTAACAGCCCCTCTGGGCTCTGGGCTTCCTTCTGACCTAGCTGTGCAGCCAGCCAGAGCAGTGAAACTCTTGTGACCACCCTGATGTGTCAGGGAACCCTGGAGAGATGCCAGGACCCAGGCACAGAAGGGGCTCTGGCACCCGATGATAAGCATCTGCCAGCTTCAGCAGGCATGCGGAGGGGGTGTTGGCTCTATTCTCAGACAGGGTCATTCTGGGCCACGCCCCTCTCCCTCTGCCTCCCACTTGCGGAGGCAGAAATAGCTGCTGCAGGGACTGGATAAGGCCCCGGAGGAAGTGGCAGGAGAGTGCAGCATCTCCAGGGCATGCTTCATGTGGCAGGCACAGTCTGACCTCAGCTCTCTTCTTGCAGAGTCTTTGGATTTGTGGCACGGAAGCAGGGCAGTACCACAGACAACGTGTGTCACCTGTTTGCGGAACACGACCCTGAGCAGCCCGCCAGTGCCATTGTCAACTTTGTGTCAAAGGTCATGATCGGCTCCCCGAAGAAGATCTGAGCCCCTGCCAGCCTGGAGACCCCAGAGATGCTGGGACAGCAGACTCTGACCCTGAAACTCTGGGCCCAGCAGATGAAAGAGCTTCACCTTTACAAAGAGAACAGACAAGACACCCGCTCCCGGCACTTCCTGGGTGAAAGGAGCTGGGCACCAGGCTTCTAACTGGAAGAGTTAAAGGACCATGCGAGGAAACGCTGAGTTCACGCTGCTGAGAAGGCTCTGAGCCCCCCACAGGGAGCGAGGAACCACCATTGCCGTGGTTTCTGCCCAGCCAACATTCCAGGGGAGTCTGCCCTTCACTTCAGAAGGGACTGCATGTTTTCAGGGGTTGGGGCAGCTGAGTCAGGCCTTTGTGGAGCACAAAGTCCTGGGGGAAGGGAAGGGGCTGTGAACACCAGGGGCACTTGTGTCCGGAGCCCCTGGCGAGGCAGCTCCTCTCACTGCTCTCACCGACTGGGTGGTGTCTCGACAGGGGAGAAAGAAGTGTAGGCCAGGCCAGAAGGGAAGTGCCTTTTCCATCTAACTTATACTTCATTGTGCCACACTATTTATGTGGATAAACATCCACATCCCCATCACTATCCTGTTCTCATGTCCTGTTCTATACCTGCCAGTCCACCAGGATTCTGGGAGAAGCTTCTGGTCCTGGGGGCTGGGGGACTGGGCATGAGAATGTGCCCGAGTCCTTGCCAACTGCTGCCTCTGCAGTGCTTGGGCCTTCACCAGTTTAAGGTGGTTCGGCCCCAGTCAACCCACCTGGTGCCTGACTTACCTATGGGTATTTGCCAAGTTCAGATGACTTCCCTTCTAGTGAGGAAGGTTCTAGAGGGGTAGGAAGGAGTTGAATTTAAACCCAGTATGTCTCTGCATTTCTGTTACTATTCATCTTGGGGCCACCAGAGGTTCCTGAGAAGACCCCAGACCTTTGTAAGACCTTATCCTGTTCTTCTGCCCCCACTGGCTCCAATTGCACAGCTGCCTCTGGCATCTTTAGAGGGAGGGAAAGACTAACAATCCCTTTGGGCCGTTTTTGAGTGTCACTTTTCTGCTCTTGTTGAATCAGGCTTACACTGATATGAACACTCAGTGCCCATGACATTCCTCAAGCAAGGGCCCTGCAAGGTGGCTCTGGATATAAAATCAGTTTATCTGGCCCAAGTGTGTCCCAGCACTTGGTTCATCATGCTCTGCCCATTTTTATTCTCTACAGCAAGAACTAGTTCTTTGATTACCCAGGAATCACCAGCAATTGTCCATTCTGGGCTTTGGAACTGTGTCTGGTGACTTCTCAGTTTCACAGTGGGGCAGAGATAAGCTTAGCTGATCTCAGTGGGTGTATTGTGTATATAAATGTGCAGAAAAGCAGACAGATGGGTCCACTATTCAGCTCTTACTAATGTACTGAACACAAGTGCCTCATTCCTGTGCCAAATGTTTGCCTTAGTCATTGTGGACCTTCTCCCCAGCATCTGCTTACGTGTCATCGAAGAGACTGTCCCCGAGGTCCTGATGTCCTGGCGCATAGCAGAAGGCTCCGAGCCCCCCACTGTGAGCGAGGAACCTTCATTGCTGTGGGCTCTGCCCAGCCTATCTTGTCACTGACTGCCAGGATCCGGCCAAAGGGAGTGTAGGTTTGTACTGTTGATTAGAGGTGCCTCATCCTGAGATGGCTCGTACCCAAGTTTGGTCCAGACCAAAGGCCAGGTCCTTGCCCTTCTAAGGAAGAATGCACACGCTTTGAAATCAAAGCAGAAGAGGAGTATGAGGTGGAGAATCACAAGCCAAAACCCCATACCGGCATCCTGGAACCCCAGCCCACCGAAGTTCTTGTGTGGACCCTCAGGATGCCACTGCCACTTGCTTTGACACTGAAGGCCGGCTCTTGACACACTCAGATGTCAAGGACATCAGGCAGCTTGTCCAAGCAAATGGCTCTCCCTGAGGAATGAAAGGAAGCCAGTTCAGTTCCTGATGTCCAGTAGTGGACTAATCACGAAGTGTTACATATGCACCCAGGACAATCCATGGACCTCTTTTCACTCTAGGGAGGCTGCGCTCTGGTGCCTGTGCCAGCCCAGTTTATTGTAAGGAGCTTTCTCAGGCATCTGACCTTGGGGTGCCAGTGGGAATAGGGGTACTATCCTGGGAGCTCGTGAGGGCTGAGTCCCAGTGTCATAGCCAGGGTCCAGGCCACCTGCTCTTTAACTATACCACATAGTTCCAGTGTTAACTTAGAACCAAGTTAAGTCTGAATCACATTTAGTGTCTCCACGTGACCTCTCACCATTGAAGACCTTCCCAAGTCTCCTGAGCTGCCTTATATTAGTGGGTATTTGTACTCTTCTATCGTGAAAAACATATCCAGTATGTAAATGAATGTTCTATAAATTCTTTGTATAGCCATTTTCTTTCTCTAAATATCATCTTTATTCAGAATATAATAAAATCACAAACTTGGTAAGCTTCTGTGGCAGTCCTTACTACGCTAGATGAAAGTGCTTCTGTGTGTGTGTGATGCCTGAGTATGCATCTCTGTATGTGTCCCTTGTTTACATATGCATGTATACCTGCCCCTTGAATATATTCTGTGCATGCTTATACCTGTGGGTATGTATGTGCAAGTGTGTTTATTTCCTTGGAAGGTCAGAGGGGGTCAGTTATGTGTCAGTGGATTCTGTTACCATTCACACATCTTTTGCACTTAGGAATATTTTAAAACATTTCTTCTCGGACCTTTAAAAATGTTGCTTTGTGGGGCTGGAGCGATAGCACAGCAGGTAGGTCGTTTGCCTTGCACACAGCCAACATGGCCGACACAGGTTCGATTTCCAGCACCCCATATGGTCCCCTGAGCATCGCTAGGAGCAATTCCTGTGTGTATGAGCCAGGAGTAACCCCTGAGCATCGCTGGGTGTGACCCAAAAAGCCAAAAAAAAATGTTACTTTGTCTTGTTGTTTTATTTTGTTTTGTGGGGGGGGGGGGGGCGGGTGGAGCCACATAGCAGAGCTCAAGACTTACACCTGACCCTGTGCTCAGGGAGGATTCTTGGTAATGCTCAGGGGCCATATGTTGTTTGCCCCCTGATGGAAATGGGATCATTTATCGAATCAAAATGGGTGTGAAGTCAGCGCCTTATCCCCTGTACTAGCCTATATGTCTCTGGCCTATACTAAATTTTTAAGTAATCTCTGGGATTACTCCTAGCTCTGCACTCAGGAATTACTCCTGGCGGTGCTCAGGGGACCATGTGGGATGCTGGGAATCAAACCCGGGTCAGCCGCATGCAAGGCAAACACCCTACCCGCTGTGTTATCGCTCCAGCCCTGCATTTTCTACTTTTTAAATTAATTTGGTTTTAGAGTCACAGTGAGGGGTTCACAGAGCTCACTCTTGGCTCTTCACTCAGTGGTCACTCCTGACGGTCTCGGGGGACCCTGTGGGGTTCCGGGCACCGAAGGAGTTACTGAAATTCATGGGTGCTCTCTAAGCGGTGGGGTGGGCATCACTGCTGAAGGATGGGAATGTTACTTGGGCCCCTGGGACTCTCAGCGACACTGGGCAGGGACAGGGAGAGACCTGGGGAGGGGAAGGCATGTAGCAAGAGCAGGGCTTGCTGTGTCCCCCTAAAAGGTCACTGCTATTCTTAGTGGGTGACCGGACATGTTTCTGCTGAACTCAGCACAAGCTGCCCATGCCCCCAAGCAGTGGCGGCCACCCAGTCCCCACCCCACAGGCCTGTGGGCTCTAGACAGCCTGGGACATCAGCTTGAGGGGGTTTGGGGAATCTGGCCACAGTGCTGGGGATATTTTTGCCTAGGCTGTATCGGAGGGCCAGGACTGCTGAAGGATGGCAGGAGGAAGCAGTACTTCCTCACTGGGTCTCAGTACTCAGCTCTCAGTACCAAACCCTCAGTACTGAGTTCTCAGTACCAAGCTCTCAGTACTGAGCTCTAAGCACTGCAGTGGGGTGCGTGGTCAGCTTGGCCAAGTGGCCCCTTAGCTGTGGGCCTATTGGTGGGAGAATGAAGCAGAAGCTGCTGGCGGGAGGGGCCAAGGGGCGCAGGGAGCTGGCCCTACTCCCTCACAGGCTGCCGCTGTGTCCCACACCCCGGCGCCTCCATGGGGCAGCGGCCCCTTGGGACGTTTTGCGGCAGCTTGCTGGGTGCACCACCTTCCGCCGTGGTGGCTGCTGAGACCAGTGTTGGCAAAGGGGTCCAGCGGGGGTGGGGGGCTGCCTGTGGTGCAGCTGGCCCACTCCTGACTGCCAGGAAAAGCCCATTCTTAGCAGCCCCAGACTCCAACTTCGTAAAATGAAGGGGAGGGAGTGGGGGGAGTATCTTAAAAAAAAAAAAAAGCCTGACCACAGTGAAAGGTTTCTGAACAAGAGCCGACCAAAAATCAATTCAAAGTTCATCAGTCACGGATCGGAGGTGTTCATGGTAGTTCTCCCTCAGACTGCATCCCAGGGCAGAGGTCACTGTGGAAAAGTTTAGGAAACCCTGGTGTAGACCACTGCTGGGATCCTGACTGGCATGTCATTGGATGTTCTAATTTCTAAGGAAGAGCTGGCATATTTATTATCATAGTTTTCCCAGTCAGGGAGGAGAGCCTGTGTTTTATCTGGACTACTTTGATTTCTCCGCCCCTCTCGGAGAACCAGCAAGCTACCTAGAGTATCTCGCCCGTACGGCAAAGCCTGGCAGGCTACCTGTGATGTATTCGATATGCCAAACACAGTAACAACAAGTCTCACGATGGAGACGTTACTGGGCCCACTCAAGAAAATCAATGAACAACGGGAGGACAGTGCAGTGCTAAGTAATCTCACTCATGTGTGGGACGTAAAGATGCAAATCTGCAGATTTGACACATTGATGTGAAACTGAAATACATGTTTCTGCCATCTGGGGGTTTCAGTAATAACAGTCCACTTTGTTGGATGCTGCCGCACTAAAGTGTAATATGGAATGTTGGCAATGATAACATTTCTGTTGCTACTTTTGTTCCAGATTATTGACTTGTGTGAGTTAGCTTATTATATACTTGCAGTATTTTATTTTATTATATTTAAAATATAATCTGGTTGCGAGGAAGATGAACTCTTAGAATCATAAATATGACTTCCATGGAGGAAGAATGTTTCAAATCCGATTTAGGAGATGATCATGATGAAGAACAGCAGCAAGTAAGAAGAGGTATAGTGGTACTTGAGTATTGTGGAGTCACTTTTTTTTTTATTGATGATCACTTTTGCACTGTACAAACTATTCTTGATAAAATTATGTACTAAAATGATTGAAGAAACAAACAAATACATTGTTTAATGCAAAAGTATTTCTGCAGAAGACACTAGCAGTT